AGCAGGGCCCGGGCCGGCGAGGCCGCGGGGACCGGCCTGTTTCTCCAACACGGAATCCCAGAATACCCGGAGTAGCTAGGGACCCTCAGGAATCACCGAGTCCAGCTCCTGGCCCTGCGCAGGACACCCCAAGGGTCACTCCATGTGCCTGAGCGTGCTGTGCAAACACACGCTGAACAGCCTGTGACCACTTCCCCAGGGAGCCTGTTCCACTGCTCTGCCACTCTCTGGGAAAAACTTTTTCCTGAGATCCAACCTAACCTCCCCCCAAGCCCCCCAGAATGGTGGCGGTTTTATTCAAAGTTTTCCGTTTTGGTGCAGGTTGTGCCCACTTTCCTGTGTGGAAGCAGGGCCGGGGCCTTGGGCAGGGGCTCCTCAGCCTGTCCGTGCTGCCTGCAGGGCCAGGGGACTTCAGGGGGCATCAGTTACTGACCCCTGCTCTGGCCTTTGATGCCAAGGAAACTCCGTGGTTTGCAGCACATACGCCTGCCTGTGGGATTGTTCCTTTGGTGTGCTTCTAACCCTTTGTAAGAAATCCTATTTGGTTTCTCTTAAAATGCTTAACTATGCAGTTTGTTTTTTTTTTTTGTACTAGGCTTTTCTGAGAGGTATAACCAAGTATATTTCTCTTTTTTTTAATACAGGAGCTGCTCAGGGTGATGAGGACAATCGATGATAGAATTGTTCATGAATTAAACACAACAATTCCAACAGCTTCCTTTGTGGGGAAGGTTGATCCTGGTCAGACATGTAAAGAGCTGTACGAGTCTGTGAGTGTGCACACCTTCCCCTTTCAGCTCCCTCCCTGCTGCTTTGTCATGTGCAGTGGCCAGTAAAGCATCCTCAGTGTCTGAGGAAAACACTGCCTTGGTAGATGCTGCTTTGTGTATTCCTAGCTGTCCTGCTCAGCATCTCTTCAGTTTAAAACCATGCAGGGAAGTTCTTTGTTCTGCAATACTGATCCTTCGAGGATGTTTTAAAAAGGGTGCTTGCTTTTGCTGCTGCTCTGCAAGACTCCTTCTCATGTTTACCTTTGACTTTTGGTCAACTTGGTAAGAGCAAGAACAACAGGATAGTCTGAGTTGAGAGCAGCTGCTGCTCAAAGCAGTGTTGTGTCTCACATGTGGATTATGAATTCAAAGGGATTTCTATAGGCACAGCAATACCATGACTTTAGAAAGTGTCTCTTTAAACTTAAAACTAGGAGGTTTTTATTCTCTGATGAGTCACTGTGACTTTCTCTCCCCACTTAGTTGACGGCTGCTCACACCAGCAGAGAAAGAATCATCAAAAACTGCATCTCTCAGACTTCTGCTGTAGTGAAAACTCTCAAAGAAGAGAGGGAAAAGGCCGATGAAGATGTAGCATTATTAAAGCAACTCAGGAAAGAGCAGACAAAGGTGAGTGGTGGAGCCTTCTAGAGATCACTTAGAGAGGAAGAAGTGGGTATGTTTCCCAAGCAGAAAGACCATTGTGATGGAGAGAGCCTGAAGTGGATCCTGAGTCAAGCAGTCTTTTCCAAGGTTTTTGTTGGCTCTTGTTGGTCTCATGAGAATTATTTTCCCAAGGCATCAAGGCAGAGAGCTGCCTTGCAAGTGGAGCATTTCCTGAGATCTTTTACACAAATGCTGTAGAAAAACACACATTCTTTCCCATGGTGGATTCTAACCTTCAGTGACTGATACCACTGAGGCACAGCTTAACTTTTCCTGTTCTTTACAAGATGCTCCCAGGCAGCTTTGAATTCCACTTACACAACCTTTTTGCTGTTTGGTATTTCTTTGGATTAATTTTTGGAGTACCTTGTGATGGTGTGGGAGACACTTCTGGGTTTTCATACAGAATTCTAATGTGCAAATGCCTTCTCAGCCATCTGGCCTGTGGGCGGAAAATATACTTTATCAGAGGTGACCAGAGGGGATTGAGTATCAGAAGTGGAGAAAGGAGCCCCACTGAAGTTCTCACCCCACTTCCCTTTTGTAAGGAACAGGATACCAAGAGAACCATGTGGCAGACAAGCCTGGTCTATTGAACTTCTAGCAAGCTTGGATATTAGTTTGGAAAACTAGAGTGGTATCTTAGTATTTTCTACACATACTGTTAGCAGAGCCAATTATTTAAATCATTTACTTACTGAACCTGAAATCTCTCACTGAAAACACTGGGAGGATCACAATGATAGTGTTTAATGCTTGGAGGTGGCTTCAAATGTTAAAAGCAATCCATAATTTAGAAAGATCTCAGAAATTTTTATGAGCTTCTCCTCGGACTTGTACTCGTACCTTATGAGGTATAATCCTCCTGATTATTTTTTTTTGGACCTCCAAAACAGGGTTGTGTTTTTTCTGCAAGTCAGAAAAGCTATCTTGGCAGAACATATCCTAGTTTTAAGAGTGAGAATTTCAAATATCTATTCACTTGCTTGCAATACACATCTCTTTTCCCTTGTTACGTGTGTTTCTCTCATCCTGCTAGCTGTACAATTTGGAGGACTTCGTGTAAAATTATTACTTCTGCATCACTGAATGAGAAAACTTGGAGTAGTAGTTTATTTGAACTGCTAAAGATTCTCTGAGTGTTTATTTTATAGATACTTACCCTGGTTGTCCAGTCACTGTGGATGCTGGATTGTTATTTCAAACAGATTGAAGTCCTGTTGAGTTGGGGAAAGTGCATCCAACAACTGTAGCAACTCTGTGTTCCTGGGATATCTTACTTGGAAGGATTTTAGTGGGATTGCTGTCTTGGTTTGTACCTGTTCACCAGGCCTCTAATTGGAACCATGGATTGAAAATGGATAAACTCTGACTCTTAGTCTGTTGTGTTAAAGACTCCAACAAGAATATGTCCTAAATTTGGGCAAAAATGATAGATGTTTCTTAAATCTCCTACTGTTGCTTCAGGACCAAATTACCCGAACAGAACAGTCACACCTGCCCCTCAGGGTTTTTTAATAGGTGTGAAACAAAGAGCTTCTTACCTTTCTCGTGGGTCAAGTGAGTGCTCAAGAACTGTATATTGGTGGTAGCTCTTCCAGAGCTTTTGCATCTGGGTAGAGCTGATTTGTCATGCAGTGATGACATAAAATATTAACTGGTTCAGAGAGCACAAACAACACGTGATCAGGCTGCAGACCCTTTTTGGTCAGTGCACTGAGTAGATGGCAAATGAAGCAGAGAGGATCTGTTCATAACCTTAGTTTTAAATCCAGAAGCCTAGCTGGATTCCTAGCTTTGCTGCCAGCTTCATATATGACTCTAATGATGCAAGAGTGGCAGCTGAAGGCTGCTGAGCTAACCCCAGCCCTGGCATTCCCTGTGCTGAGTGCTTGAATTAGGGGCAGTTATTTGTGCCTGTGAAGGCATCAATGTTAATCAGTTAATTGCTAGCAAATTTTGATGGGCATTGTTTAGGAATAGAGCATGATAACCAGGATCTACTGCCAGGCTTACTTTGTGAGTCTGCCTTCACTGTGCCCTTGCAGACCTTTGTGTGCCCTGAGCACTGGCTGACTGGAAGGGCCAGCTCCCAGGTTGATTACACATCCTGTCCTTTGGTTTGCACCATCAGAGGAGGTGAGCACCTGGTGCTGGGGCTGGGAGCTGAGAAGTTGCACTAGTAGTAAATACTGAAGGCTGCAGGGAGACCTGTTTGACAATAACCTTTTTATCTGTTATTTTCTGCAGTTGAAATTGATGCAGTCGGAGCTCAATGTTGAAGAAGTGGTAAACGACAGAAGCTGGAAGGTACTCAGTCATTTAATAGTGGTGATGTTCTGTCCCAACAGACAGTCCTGCACTGGAGGTGTGGGGCTGGTGCCTTATGAAGCAGGTTAACTAGAAATAGATGAGGGCAGTGCCAGGGGAAATGCTTCAGTGGAGTTGTTTTCCCAGGTCTGGATGCAGAGATCAAAGCTTTTCAGTTGGATTGCTAAGGGAAGAAAAGCGTCTGATTCAGCGGGCAGGAAGGACTGTGGATTATTCCCTGTGTCCCTTTCTCCCCCTTGCCAATGGCTGAGCAGTTTGTAGGCTTTTCTGTGGTTTGTGGACTTCTCTGAAAAGCTTTGCAGGGCCTCTAACAGTGTCAGACCGATGGATCTTTCACGTTTGCCTAAATCTGGTGCTGCTCACTCTGAGCAGAGCCCAGGGGAGGGTGAGGCTGTAGAAGTTGAACTTTTTCCTGCTGGAGTTTCTTCAGGCCTGAACAGACACTCCCTGGTGCAAAGGGCAGCCTTGCCATTGCACTCCTGTGTCAGCAGAGGGTGCAGATCACCCTCTGGATTGATGGCCTCAAAGTCTGTCTGGTGATTTTAACACTGAGCTTAAATTCTGAGGTGGCTGTATTGTGTCACTGCAGCATTTCACATCTGGCATCCTTTTCTGGTTTGGTGTAGCTTTTCAGAGCTTTCATTACTGCAGATAGAACCTCTTTCCTTCTCCAAATGCAAAAAGGATTTTTGCAAATAGCTAGTATTAGCTGCACCTTCCTTTTTAATCTCTTCTTCAATGTTTTAGTCCCCTAAATTGCACCAGTGTAAAATCAGCTTTATGTCCTGGCTGTTTGTCAGTAACCTCAGTTCAGGCTGATGAAATGAGCATTCACAGTTTTCTCCATATGCTTTGCCATCAGTACACCTCTGTACTGTCCCAAAAAGCTAAGCATGCACTTCAGTTTAATTTTAAACCTTCTCAGATCTGACTAAATAATGCCACAGCCTTAACAAGAACATGCTGCAAGTCACTAGGGGCAAATATTTCATGGTGATTCTGGTATAGGGGAATAGCCCCCACCCTAATCTTCATTCTGAAGCACCCAATTTAGTAATGATCCCAGAGGTTTCTTGTAGCTGCATTAAGCTTTTACTGGTGACAGAACTGTCTTAATTTTTCCTGAAGATGGAGAGTTTATAAACAGTAAGGTATGCATGGTGCAGGGGTACTTTAGCCTCCTAGTGTATTCCTCAGCCAATAATCAGAGTGGGGCTTCAAGAGATAAATATTTCTGGGTTTTATCTTCAGCTCCGCCATACTATGCTCTGAATATACACATAAATGTCTCCTTTAGCTGCCCAGAAAATGTCACTAATGGAATTAGAAACAGTCATAGAATTGCAAAAACAAATGCAATTTGTTACATGGAAATGATTATTAGTGTGCAGGCTGCTGTTTTACTGTTGTACACTTCTGGCTGGGAAGTACATTTGTACTTCTATTAATCCTAAACAACTGAAAACTAATTGGAAAAATCTGATTAGGAAAGAGTTTCTTAAACACTGGCTGACTGTAGCAATAGTGGTGTACAGAAGGATGCTACTTTAGAGAAATGCATGCAGTGAAATTTGGATGATACCAAACAAGGAATTGATTTTCAAGCAAGACACTTGCATTAGTCTCTGTCCAGCACCTCCATACTGGAGGTTGTAGTTGGGAGTGGTTTATACAAATACATAATAGCCATCAAAATCAAACTTTCATGTAGTAACATGAATTTTAAGGTTTTTCAGCCATTGCTTTTCCTGAAAAATGTCTGAAAAATGAGAATAGCACTTCACAGGTAGACTAATGGAGTTTAGTGGCCTGAGTAACACACTGAGATCTGTGAGCCAATGGTCCTAAAAGTAGGAGGCAGTGTTAGTAAGACTGCAGTGTTGATCTTCCTGCCACAGGTTGTGGAGTTACTGTTGAAGATATTTTGAAAGTTAGCAAGATATCAAGCAAGCTGGTGTGTTGTTTGATGCTAGAGACTCTTGCAGTGCTTTAGAGAGTATTTCCAGCACCCTTTTAGATGTATATGCCATTAAAATGTCATTAACAGACAACGGACAAAAACCAGTGTGATTTGTTTAGTAGTAAAATGTTTCTGAATTGGACCTGCTGTTGCTCTTAATTTCTACGGTTTCCTCCTATCACTGATCTCAAACCTTTACCTCATCTGAACTCTTCCAGAGGTGTCTATTCCATGTGGTAACATAATGGCTGCAAGAAACTATATCACAGCTTTTGTCTTCTGCAATATGAAGCAGTTTGTAATACATGTCTGTTTCTTAAATTAAATTTGAAAGGTAGTTGAAAATTACTCCAAAATTGTTGAGAAACAATGCTGTAACTAATGTGTGCTCCAGGCTTCACTTTTCCTTAGTTGCCATAGGTTCTGGACTGTGAATAAGATCAGCTGTAGAAGATTGTAGGAAGACAGAGCTTGAAGCAGTGTATTTATATAAAGTGTTGTTTTGTCCAAATCTACAAGATCACTCACTTTGCACATAAAGTCAATGGGAGAGTTCATGAAACTTCATATCCTGATGATCACAGGCACTTGGGTCTGCCAAATCCCTGGACAGCTTGGCAAAATATGTTCTTGTGGGAATGCTGGTGGGACAACCAACACCTGCCAGAGCCTCAGCTTGGTGTCAGGTGGTGCTTGTGTCGCTTTCAGGACTTGTGCTGGACAAGTTTGGATAAAAACTGATAAATAACTAAATGGCTTGTGAAGAGCATCTGCAACCTTGGTGGGAGCCTGTGTGTTTTGCTTTGGATTCAGACTGCCTTACTTTAAATAGTCACGTTTATTGGCCCTCCTTAGGGCAGGCTGGCAGTGGTTCAAGCCAAATATACATGAACCTCAGTATCCAGTTCTGAAGGCTAATTTTTACCCAGAGAAGGTGCCAGAGGCGAGTGAGGCAGGAGTGCTGTGCTCTTTGCAGGGAGTGCTGGCAGCATTGGCACAGGCAGGCAGATCACTGCAAGTGTGGCTTCCAGGAGCCCTTGTCCCTCTTCTTGGCTGTCATGCCAATGTAAAATGTGTCTGCTCAGGAAAGACAGGAATACAGCATCTAAATTTGAATGCCAGAGTGATCCTAACAGAACACAACCATTCAGGAGCCTTCCAATGATTATTTCCCTCCCTTTAAAAACAAAAAGGCATCAGCCTTTTTGATGATAACAGCCTGCCAGGATTAAGAATCTTTATTATTGGAGGGAGAACACTTAGTGCTGTGCAGTCTCCAAACTGCAAACTTTGTCTTTACTAAAGCCAGAAGAGAAGGTGAATGGAGATGGATGTCTTGGTAAGTGCCATTTATTGATACCTCAGAGCTGGGCAGCTTGAGATGGGTGCTACATGAAGAAGTAGTTGCTTAAACTGTTGGTGAAGTTCTGCTCATTTCCTGGATGGGGCTGATTGACTTTTGCTCTTCTGTTTTGGTGTCTCAGGTATTTAATGAGCGGTGCCGAATTCACTACAAGCCTCCGAAGAGTCAATGATGGTGTGGGGTATTTTCCATCAAGGTGGTCCATAACTGTGAGAGCCAAACTGGAAAGAGACTTTGGGTGAGCTGAATTGGGACCCTCCAGAGCCAGTAGAACCCAGTCTTGTTTTGTTTTGGACCTACTTAGCTGAATTCTCAAGCTTGAAATGATTCTCCTGTAATTAAGAGAAAACAACTCATCTTTTGTACAAAATATGTGAACAAATGAATTTTATAGTATTAAAACAATTTTCAAACGGAATGCAAAACTGGCATCTTTCTTGAACTTCCACAGCCTCAGTGATCCCAGA